GTTTACATTTAAATTTATGAGAGTGAACATGTAAATAATCATAGAATGGAGGTTTACATTTAAATTTGAACATAACAGTTTCAAAGTTTACATTTAAATTTGAACATAACAGTTTCAAAGTTTCCAATAATCTTATAAAATAATTATTCTGAAATCATTCTATTTGAATTTCATTTTTGATTCTCATAGAATGGAGGTTGATTCAAATGGTGGTGACAATCCTTCAGTAAATGAGGGTGAACAAGTTGAAGAACCTAAGAAGGGTATGTGTTTTAGCTCAAGGGAAGAAGTGTACACACTTTATGCCACATATGCTAAGCATGTTGGCTTTTCTATAGCTCATAGAGCACACCATTTTGGAGATGATGGCCAATTAAAAAACTTTGCAATTGAATGTTCTTGAGCGGGGGAGAGAAAAAAGAAATCAGAAGTGAACCCTTTGAAGCCATCTTTATCCACAAAAATTGGTTGCAAAGCAAGGGTATGAGGTACTCTACAAAAAAATGGGACATATATGTTAACCACAGTTAACCTTGAGCATCATCATGATTTGATTCCCACCGACCCTCGTCATTTTGCAATGAATAAGAAAATTCGTACTCCTGTGAAGAGAAGATTAGAAATCAATGATCAAGCAGGGATTGGGGTGTCTAGGAACTATCATTCAATGGTTGTTAAAGCGGGGGGATACGAGTCATTGACATTTGATGAGCGAGATACAAGGAATTACATTAATAGAGCTAGAAGATTAAGGCTTGGTGAAGGTGATGCCGAATCACTTCAAAGTTATTTCATGAGGATGCAAGCACATAGTGAGAGATTCTTTTATGTGATTAATGTTGATGAGGAGTTTCGCATTAGAAACTTGTTTTGGGTTGATGCAAGGAGTCGGGCTACGTATGAATCATTTGGAGATGTTGTTTCATTTGATACAACTTATAAAACGAACAAATATGACATGCCATTTGCTCCATTTGTAGGAGTTAATCACCATGGACAGTTTATTTTGCTTGGTTGTGGATTGTTATCTAGTGAAGACACCGACACATTTGTTTGGCTATTCAAGTCGTGGTTAAGTTGCATGTCAAATAATCCTTAAAAAGCTATCATAACTGATCAGTGCAGAGTTATGCAAAATGCTATAGAAATTGTCTTTCCACAGGCCCGGCATCGATGGTGCTTATGGCATATAATGTAGAAAATACCGGAGAAGTTGAAAGGATATGCTCAGTATGAACCCATAAAGTTGGCTATGCAAAATGCAGTTTATGATTATTTGACAAGAGATGAATTTGAGGAAAAATGGGAAGAGATGCTTACTAAATTCAATCTTTATGATAATGAGTGGTTGGGGGTACTATATGATGAGTGGCATCGATGGATTCATGTATATGTTAAAGATATTTTTTGGACTGGCATGTCAACAACACAATGAAGTGAAAGCATGAATGCATATTTTGATGGATATGTCAACCCGAAGACTACATTAAAACAATTTGTTGAACAATATGACAACGCGTTGAGAAGTAAGGTAGAGAAAGAGAAGAAATCATACTTTAAGTCTTGACACAAATTGTTTGATTGTCTAACTATAAATGGCTTTGAGAAGTAATTTCAGCAAGCCTACACCAATGCAAAATTCAAAGAAGTTCAAGGAGAGTTGAAGAGATTAGTTTATTGTCAGGCCTTGATTGTCAAAGAGGATGGAGCAATTTGTAGATATAATGTCCAAGAAGCGATGATAGTTTGTGACAAGATGAAGCATGTGGACTTTGTTATCTATTTTAATTCAATTGAATGTGAAGTTCAATGTATGCGTCGGTTGTTTCAGTTTAGAGGCATTATGTGTGCTTACTCACTCACGGTGCTTGTGAGAAGGTGCATAAATGAGGTGCCAAGTAAATACATTCTGCCACGTTGGAGGAAAGATTTGGTTCGATAGTATACATGCATCAAAACCACGTACACTGGTTTTAGGGATGATTTCAATACAAGTTGCTATGAGAGGATGAACAAGAAATTGATCGCCATTGTACAACTTGCTGGTAATTCGGAAGGGAAAATTAAAATTATAGACCTTGGGTTGGATGAAATGAAAGATATGCACAATGAATCGGGTGATGAGAGTAATTTACCACATTCTACTAATAGGATACCATCTTCTACAAAAAGTTTGATTGCCACCAGTTGTACATCGGGAGCTAGTACGAGGAAGGTGATTAGTCCTTTGGTTGTTCGGCGAAGAGGCCGTCCAGTTCGAAACGAAAGGTTGCCAAAGTAGATCAAATAGTGAATCGGTTTAAGGCAACGGCAAAAAAACAAACAAAAGCAAAGGTAAATTGTATATTGAATTGAACTTGTTTTTTATTTTTTTAACAAACTCTTTTCAAGTGCATTTTTACAAACTCTTGAACCAATATAGGCTGCTAAGGTGCTTCAATTTGAAGCTCCAGCTCAAGCTCAAGTTGAAGCTCAAGTTAAAGCTCAAGCTCAAGCTTATAGATCGTATTATCCTTATATGGTTGGCATGCAAGATAGTATGTATGCACCGGTATGTGTTCATGAGACGACTTTACATCAATTATTTGTTTTCATTTACAAATATTTTGTAACATGTACTTTTTTACTTCAATTATGACAGGTCGTAAATGCTATTGGAGGCATATCTCTTATTTCATCGGAATTTGTAAGCAGCACACTGAGAAGTTTGATGAGTGCTCCAACTCAAATTTTTGGGTCTGGATCTCTAACCCCATCGGGTTCTAATGCATGCACACCGGGAATGAATGATGGACATTGTAGACATGTTTGACTAGTTTATTAAACATTGACATTTTGTTTTTGAGATTGAAACTTATTATGCTAAGTCCCATGTTAGATGTGTAACACATGTTGTGTATGAATTTGCAAGATTGGTTATTATTAAGTCCCACTTTATTGGTTATGCAAGATTGGTCTTTGAGTTCATGGTTTTGACAATGTTTGAGTATATTGAAAGTTTATTTGAGTTCATGTTTATTAAGTCCCACTTTATTGGTTATTGCTATTTTGACAGTTCATGGTTTATTTGAGTTCATGGTTTATTTTGACAATCTGTCTTTGAGCATTTTGAGTTCACAGTTCATGGTTTAAAAAATATGTAAAAAAATTTGTCTTTGAGTTTGCTATTTTGGTAGTGTTTGAGCATGATGTTTTGAGAGTTCATGCAAAATCTGTCTTGACAGTTCATGGTTTAAAATATCTGTAAAAAAAATCTGTCTTTGAATGATTTAAACTATCAAACTGTCTCAAACTGTCTTTGAATGGTTCATACTCAAACTGTTAAGACAGATTTTGGCTTAAACAATTCAATAATAACACATCATTCCATGTTGGTTCATTTCCATTCCATGTACCAAAATCATCTGTATGTGAAAATCATCAAGGCTTTAACAATTCAACAATAACACATCATTCCATGTTGGTTCATTTCCATTCCATGCACCAAAATCATCTGTATGTGAAAATCATCAAGGCTTCAACAATTTAACAATAACACATCATTCTATGCCACAACAAAACATTTCCATGCCACAACAAATCTGTCTTCACAGTTCATTTCCATGCCACAACAAAACATCACACTGTTGCATTCCACAATAACACATCATTCACTATATAATAACAAACACTAAAATAGATATTACATTCCACTCTAAAATAACAAATTGTTTCTTACTAATACATATTCCATTCCACAACAAAACATAGTTCAATCTACTTCTACTTCTAACTAGCATTATATCTTCATAAGTAATAAGACACCAATTACAAGCAACACAAACAACATAAATTCTATTTTTTGCATCTTTGCACTCTGAATTCGAAGTTGTTCCGTCATAGATCTTAGCAGTTCTCTTTCTACTTGTCTTGGAATTTCATGATCTCCACATTGTGAATTCATAGGCACACACCATCCAATGAAAGTACCACAACCATTACAAGAGTAGAATAACTTGTTTTTGTTTCGATTGGTCTCAGAAATTCGAATAGTGGCATTTTTATTACATGTAGGACAATTTTTGTTCAAGTACGTCAACCGATCTGAGCTACTGCCGTTGACAGTTGAACTTGACATCTGCAATAACAAGTCTTGATTGATTTTTGTTTTGAGACCTTTTTTATTTTTTTGAGAAAAAATGTAATAATTATAAATAAAAAAAAATATTTTACCTTATTAACTTTTATATTTAATTTTATATTTTTATAATTATTTAATCTCAAAATGAATGCCAAACCGAGGCTTAAGCCTCGCTTGGGAAGCGGTCGGTTTAGTCAAAAATTTATTAAAAAAGTCAAAAAGTCAAAAAGTCAATAACCCATATCAAAAAGTCAAAGATTTTGGGTATGTTTGGTTTGTGTTTGAGAGATGTGTTTTAGAGATAAAAAGTACGAAAAGTTGTTTGGTTTGGTTTTTTTCAAAAGATGTTTTGAAAAATTATTTTGAGAGAGAGTTTTGAAAAAAGTGATTGATTTGATGTGTGTGAGAGAGAGATTTGTTTGGAAAACTTGTTTGGTTTACAAGTTTTGAGAAATTTTTTTGGAAAAATTTGTTTGATTTGATTACTTTTAAAAACTTATTTGTAGAGAAAATTTTCCAAAAATTTTTCAGAAATACAAACCAAACGAACCCTTTTTCTTCCTCAAATTTTTAATCTAAAAAGATAAAAAATACACTTATTTAGGACACCCCAAATAACCTGTAAAAATATAAAAGTTAAATTTTGTAATTGGTGGCTGTGGGGTTCGAACCCACGCGCACTTATGTGCAGAAGATCTTAAGTCTTCCCCCTTAACCTCTCGGGCAAACCACCTGTTTGGTATTCTGTTTCGCAATTATTATATATCTATAGAATTGTATTTATCTAACAACCGTTGGATCGACATACCACTCCATTCACTCCCCACCGTCGATCTTCTCTTCTCACCCGCGCTATATATGCCCTCCTTTCCATCTCACGCGCTATCTCACCTTCGTCCTCCAAACAAAACCCTACAGAGAGAGAGAGGCAAAAGTTTTCTTCTATTCTATTCTGTTCTACAGAGAGAGAGAGAGAGAGAGAGAGAAGGGTTGTGAAAATGGCGGAACACTTGGCTTCGATCTTCGGAACGGAGAAGGATAGGGTGAATTGCCCCTTCTACTTCAAGATTGGAGCTTGCAGGCATGGTGATCGGTGCTCTAGGCTTCACACCAAGCCCTCCATTAGCCCTACCCTCTTGCTCTCCAATATGTACCAGCGTCCCGACATGATCACTCCCGGTGTTGACGCTCAGGGCCACCCCATCGATCCCCGCAAAATGCAGGAACACTTTGAGGTATTTGATTTTGTGAATTGGTTGTTCTGTGATCTGTGATTTTTTTCTTCTTCTTATAGTTTGTTATGGTTGTAGATCTGTTAGGGTTTGCATATGTTCTTACGCGGATAGATAGAAAAGAGACGTTCTGCTCTGGCTATTTGTGCTTTGATATTGTTTCTCATATGTTCTGATTTTACTTGGGGCTTAGAGCGGATTAATTTGGGGGTTTTAAGGGTTTGGATGGATTGGTTGTTCTGTTGTTTTGTTTTGATTTTTTTTATTTTTATTTTTTTTTTGTGATGATAATGAATCTCTCCGACATAGGTCGCTTTGGAACATATTTTATGGTAAAATAGAAACCAAAATTTTAAATTTATGGAAATTTTTGCTTATTTCAATTTTTGTCAGCCAGACTAAGGGAGAATAGAGCTATATATGGCTTTCTTCCGTAATTGAGTGTGGCAATAGTTATGAAAAGAATGAAAAATTCAAAACTAAAGAGGAAAAAACAAAAGAACATATATCTATACCTGTAAAGGTGAAGCCTTTTTTTTTAAACAGCTCTAAAGGTGCAGCTGTGAAGTGATTTTGGCACATGCATTAGCAACCATAAAAACGCAAACGGGTTTTAGAGAGAGCACACATTTCTCTATACAAGTACAATAATATTTTATCTGCTAAGATTCTTTCATCAAAACCTAAGTAACAACAGAGACATAAAATACAGGTCATGTTGTACAATCATTAAAATCTCACACATTTTTGCCTATGAGTGCTTCTCTTCTTTTTTTCTCTGTAAGAAAGATTGAAAGGAAGACAAAGGATTGGGAAGAGTAGAGACTACGTCCGCTGTGCGCGCGCACACAGAGTGAGAGAGAGAGAGAGAGAGCAAAGTCGCAAAAAAAGTTAACAGGTTGAGAGAATGTTGGTTTCCATAATTATTCTTATAGGAGATAAGAGTCATTTGATTGTAAAATAATGATTTTTATGTGACAATTTTGGCAAAGAAAAAGCATTACACAACCTCAGCTATTTATTCACACCAAATTGTGGGGTTGCATTTGTATAATAATATAGATAGAAGTTCATTTGTTTGGCTTCTTATTGAAAGAAATGCTTGATTGCATCATAACTTTAAACCTTCAAATCTGCATTGCTAAAACCTCATTGTACTCTATCGTTTATGGTGTCTCTTTGTATGAGAATGATAGTATCCAACTATTATTGGTAATGTGATCCATGCAAATATAAATAGTGCAATTTGAACTTTTGTGACATTATTGATTGGTTCTATTGGGGTTTATCTCTTATTGTATATATTTTTATACTGAGCTGAGATATCACATGTTTATGTTGTTTAACTTGGTCAGATGGTTATCTGAGTTCTTGTGTGGACTAGCCTTAAGTCAAGTTATGCAATCCATAATTTTTTTTCTCAATACAACTTGTTGCGTGAAAATGTAGGATTTTTATGAAGATCTGTTTGAGGAGCTGAGCAAGTATGGAGAGATTGAGAGCCTGAACATATGTGACAACCTGGCTGACCACATGGTAAGTATATGTGAATCTTGATGTACCTAGTTTTTTTTTTTTTTATTTTATTTCCCTTGCGCCACTTATTGTTTGATCTGATATGTAAGCATCCTCCCATGTCGTATTTCCAGGTGGGTAATGTTTATGTTCAGTTTAGAGAGGAAGAACATGCTGCAAATGCTCTAAGGAATCTGACTGGAAGATTTTATGCTGGTAAATTATTCTCCAATTTCATTTCTTCACTTTCGTTGGTTTTGTGCTTTGCTTTTTTTTTCTTCCCGTAATTTCCCTTGCGCCACTTATTGTTTGATCTGATATGTAAGCATCCTCCCATGTCGTATTTCCAGGTGGGTAATGTTTATGTTCAGTTTAGAGAGGAAGAACATGCTGCAAATGCTCTAAGGAATCTGACTGGAAGATTTTATGCTGGTAAATTATTCTCCAATTTCGTTTCTTCACTTTCGTTGGTTTTGTGCTTTGCTTTTTTTTTCTTCCTGTATTTAGTTCCTATGGAATTGTATTTTTTTTATTACTACACATTTATATTGTTATGTATATGTATTACCAGGTCGACCTATCATTGTTGACTTCTCGCCAGTGACTGATTTTCGTGAAGCCACATGTAGGCAGTATGAGGAGAATGCCTGCAATCGTGGTGGGTATTGCAACTTTATGCATCTGAAAAGGATTGGCAGGTAAGCATCCTTGATGTGTTTATTTTTGTCTCATCTATCTATATTTTGCAAGGTATTACAGTTGAGCAGAGCCTGATTTTGTTTCTAAAACGATTCATCTTACTGTTATGAACGATAGAGAGTTGAGACGCCAATTGTTTGGGAGGTATCGCTCAAGGCATAGCCGCAGTCGGAGCAGAAGTCGAAGTCCTTATAGGCATCACAGCTATGATGAGCGCCCTCATGGAGGTCGTGGGCATTGTAGAAGGTATGATGACGAGGATTACTACCATGAGAGTCGTAGCAAGAGGAACAGGACTACAAGCCCTGGCCACAGAAGAGGACGAAGCAGGAGCCCAGGGGGAAGAAGGAACCAGAGTCCAGTAAGAGAAGGAAGTGAGGAGAGACGTGCCAAAATCGAGCAGTGGAACAGGGAAAAGGAACAGTCAGAAAAAGCTAATAAGGATAATATTTATGGTTCCAACAATAACAACAAAAGCAATGAAGATCAGTACTATGGAAACCAGCAGCAGCAAGGATATGGATATTGATCCAATTAAATATTTTCTGGTATGTATTCTTGTTTTCTTATAATTTTGATGTTTTGGGTTGCTCTTTTAATAAAGAGTTCCATTTAAAAAAAGACCCACACATCCAACAAAGTAGCTTACACCATTTTCCACTGTGCAGGTGATGTGCAGGTTCACTGTTCTATGATTGGATAATTTTTCCCCAATTTTTTTTTATTGGTTTCGTAATTGCTTTTGATGTGCTTGATTTGTGTGCCTTGCATGCATGGTGCTTGATTTTTCCCTTCTACATTCATCTGATCTCTTGCTTTTTCCAATGTTTCTCATCATCACTGCTGGCCATCAACTTTTCAAATTTCTTTGTTTTGAAAATCTTTGTTTTGAAAGAGTCTTCCCACCCTCCCATTTCCAATAAACACTTACTGGCTGTTTTATTTCTGTTAATTATTTTGTAATTAAGCTGTCTATTCTGTTTTCAATTTGTTAAAACATCCTTTTGAGGCTGTGTTTGAATCTTAGATTTGTAGAAAATTATTAAAACAAGTATATATTATGATTGGAAATAAGAATTTTTCAAGAGTTTCCGGTGAGTTTACACTAAAATTTTCAAGAGTTTCTGAGAATTTTCTTCATGTTGTGTTAGAGGTTTTAGAAATGTCTCAATCTTTCTGAAGAGTTTCCTTTAAAAATTCCTGGGTTTCATTTTAATTTCATGCTATTTCCTTATATTCTTATTTCTGATGGAGATTTTGTGAATGATTGAAATGTGGTATGAGGTGTAGTCTTTTGATGTTTTTGTATTGATTGTGATACTGTTTTCATTTCACATAGTATCATTTCTGTGTTGTCCCTCTGAACTTATAAGTAGCAGCGAGCTTCTACTATTTTATGTCTTGTTTTAGTAACAGTAAGGGAGTTGAAGCAGCAGTCCTGTATAGTTGTAAGTCACCAAACATATTTACAATGACTTTCTGGTCTCCATCAAGGAATGGCCAATTCCTGACGTGTGTAGTAGTTAAAGATTGGGTGTGTGTGAGAGAGAAATGGGTCTAGTTCATATCTTTTGAAACGGAATCTGCTTGACTTGTAAACTTACTATGTTATCCACCAATTGAAAATTCTTGTTTCCTGGCGTTCCTTTCGGTTTCCCCTGTCCAAATTGGATAGATTAGAATTGTAGGACAAATAACTTGAAGAAGTTCTACTTTGATACTATACATTCTTTAAGTTACATGGGTTTCGAAATGTCTTACTACAAGTGATGCTCTGTAAAATCAATAATTTCGTGGGTTTGGTATTTAGATGCATTCCTATTCTTTGCTTTTATTGCATGTGTGTTGGTATTTGTTTGCAGTCAGGCACTCTCTGACCACAGCACTTTCCAGGCTAGTTAACATGCAATTTTTCTTGTGGTTTCGTAACGGGTTTTGTCTTCTGTCAACTTCCTCTTTTGACGTTAACAAGTTATGATCTTACGTGTATTACAAGTTTTGCAGGTTCGGGTATCCCTGCTTCTTATGGACCGAGGGCTTATTTTTTACTGATGAAATTTTTTACAGGTTTCATGCTGTGACAGAGGATTGGATTTAACTGGGTTTTGCAGATCACATTTGAAAGGATTGTGAAAGACTCCCACTGAGTTAGTAAAGTATGGCCCGCAATGTTATAATTTTTTATTTGAATTGTAGTTTAATGCAGGCAGGAATGGGGGGTTTAGTGTGTTTCTTTTGTTGGACAATTTAGCTTATTGCAGTATCGAGGATGATATTATAAGCCACTTTGGATGTTTGTAATTAATGTTTGTTGTTCGGTAACTTCTTAAATATAACTTTTTTTAGAAATTATTATTGGTTTTCTTCTTTTATCCGTTTGGTTTGGTTGATAAGACGTACAGTGGTCGTGGCACGGTCTTGGTCAGCATGCCATGCCATGGCACCGCTTTGTGCAGCGTTGGCCAGCATGCCTTGGCCGGCATGCCATGCCAATGCCTTGGGCCAACATGGCGTGCCACGGGCTGGGCGAGCACGGCATGCCACGGGCTGGGCGAGCATGCCACGCCGCGGCCTTGGCTAGCAGCAAGGCATGCCACGGCCTCGGCGAGCATGCCATGCCATGCCAAGGCCAAGGCCAAAGCCAAGGCCAAGGCAGTGGGCAAGGCCAAGTCCCTGTGCAAGGCATGGCCAAGGCCAAGGCCAAGGCCGCGGGCAAAGGCCAAGGCCAAGGCCAAGTCCCTGTGCAAGGCATGGCCAAGGCCAAGGCCAAAGGCCAAGGCCAAGGCCATGGCATGCCACCGCCTTGATCGATCTTTTTGAACATGATTCTTTTATAATCTTACCCAAGCCGTGCAACACAATTAAAAATGCACTACAATCAATTCTAAATGTCATTCCCTATTTTTTTGCAATTTTTCTTGAGCTTTTCGAATTTTTAAAGCCCTTATTTGGCATAAAAAAATCAAAATAAAATAAAAAAAATGAAAAAAATAATTTAATAATTTCTATAATTACTAATGAATCATCCTTTAATTATGGGAATTTTTCCATAATTTTTTGACTATTTTTATTAATTTTTATTATTTTTTAAGTATTAATATCGAAATAAATTAAAATAAAATATTTTCTGTAAAAAAATATTTTTTTTAATTTTTTTTATGGTGTATTAAATTATTTCCTACAACTTTCATGTTGAAAGTTTTGGCAAAAAACCATTACTTTTTAAAAAAACCCCATTATGACTCCTCGAACATGCTTGATGTTTCCGCCTGCCAGATTGAAAAGGGCTTAACAGGCTATTACAAGGGGGGGGCACCTCCCTTGCCCAGGGCAAGGCAGTGGCAGGTACGCCCCATGTTGGGCGCGGCCTGGGCTGCGGCCTTGGGTTACATGCACTGCGGCTCGACCGCGGCCTGGGCTGCGGCCTGGGGCGGCTCGGCCGCGGCCTTGGGCGGCCTGGACCGCGGCCTTGGGCGGCCTTGGGCGGCCTTGCGCGGCCTGGGCGCGGCCTTGGGCGGCCTGGGCGCGGCCTTGCGCGGCCTGGGCGCGGCCTTGGGCGGCCTGGGCGCGGCCTTGCGCGGCCTGGGCGCGGCCTTGGGCAGCATGGCGTGGCATGCGCGCGGGCGTGGGCGGCCTGGCATGCGCGCGGCATGGGCAGCACGGCATGGCATGCGCACGGCCTGGGCGGCCTGGCATGCAGCCGGCCTGGCATGCCCGCGGCGTGGGCAGCACGGCATGGCATGCGCACGGCCTGGGCGGCCAGGCATGCAGCCGGCCTGGCATGCCCGCGGCGTGGGCAGCACGGCATGGCATGCGCACGGCCTGGGCGGCCAGGCATGCAGCCGGCCTGGCACAGTGCTAGGTTCATTTTGAACACACGGGACGGAAAGACGGAACTTGTAGGAGTCGAAACAAACTCAGATGCTCCGAATTTTCCCTCTTTTCTTTTGCTTTGTAACCTGGAACCCATAACTTTAGATAGGTCCTGATTCTACTGCTCTGAGATGACCTGGGTTGAACCCTGCGGTTTTATGAAAGAACGAATTCTGTTTTGCACAAATGTGGAGAAAATTCAAGTAAAATCTAATTCAAGTAAAATCTAATTCAAGTAAAATCTAATTCAAGTAAAATCTAATTCAAGTAAAATCTAATTCAAGTAAAATCTAATTCAAGTAAAATCTAATTCAAGTAAAATCTAATTCAAGTAAAATCTAATTCAAGTAAAATCTAATTCAAGTAAAATCTAATTCAAGTAAAATCTAATTCAAGTAAAATCTAATTCAAGTAAAATCTAATTCAAGTAAAATCTAATTCAAGTAAAATCTAATTCAAGTAAAATCTAATTCAAGTAAAATCTAATTCAAGTAAAATCTAATTCAAGTAAAATCTAATTCAAGCAGGTAAAAAGATAAAACAGATTACCTGTCTTCTGAGGTGTATCTAATTTTGCCTTTTTAGCAGGCACAGGTGTTTTACTCACAGATTCAGTGGGTCTCTTCTTCTTGCTGAGTTCAGCCTTCAAAATAAAACAAGACAAAGGCAAAAGTAGGTTAATAAAAATAACAGCAGTATTGGATCACCAAACTCTCACATTTTTCCAATGTCATTACTTTCTTAGGCGTCTCCTCATCTTCTTCCTCCTCATCATCTTCTTCATCAGTATCATCTTCGTCCTCCGAGTCACTATCATCTGAAGCATCCATCATGACCTAAGCAACAATCAACCATGCAAAATAAAAAAACATATCCATGCAATATAGCCACAAGAAGCCAATAATGAAAGGGATATCATAAAAACAAGACTTACTGAAGAAAATCAAATGGCATAACAAAATTGCAGTATAAATGTTGAAAGAAAAGATCTCCCAAAAAATATGTTTCACCAAAAACAAAAGATTTCCTTGGGATATTGGCTTCCCATATCATTAATAGCACTCGCCCGAATTCACTCCATTGCTTTCTATTCATCCAATTGTTTATCTAAAGACTTTCACTCATAGTTGCATTCAATCAACTTCCATTTGATTAACAAAATTTTCAAGGAATTAAAAAACCATTACGTGTCCCATCAAAACACAAAGATAAGAAAGACATCTTCATGCATATTGCTACTGCTAAAAGGTTATCTGACAATACACCATTTACTCAGAAAATGCAGCAACTGATATTTGATATATGCTATTTTAGAAAAAGGAAGGGATAAATCATAAAAAAGCAATTTAATTTGCAATCTAGAAAAACAATTCGTTGTTTAATTTATGCAGGTTGTATGAATATCACAGTACGATTATGAGTCACCTTGTCAACATCTTCATCATCGTCATCTGTATCATCATCTTCATCACTGTCATCATCTTTTTTTGGCTCCCAATGTTGACACGAGTCTTTCATTTCATCTCATATCCAGTGCAGAAAAAACCTACCAAAACATTAAAACAAAGCGCTTCCAAACTTCCAATTCATCTCCAGAAAGCAAAAATAACACTTCAGCAGAGTGTTGGATTCAACGTCTATTTGCCACCATGCTTGGCCTTTGTATGAGAATCAAGCCCAGTTTCCGAATTGAATGTCCTTCAAAAAAAATGACAGTCAGTCTCTAGAATTCAAAATAACAACAAAGAAGAGAAAGAGACGGACTTGCTGCAAGATTTGCAAGAAACTTTGCTATCAGACTTCGGAGTCTTCTCCTTCGACTTCTCGCTAGTATTAGGAGTTTTGCCGGCCTGCTTTGCAGGGTGGGGAGTTGCTGTATGACCACCACCCTTTTTCCCATCTGCACCAAAATAAAAACTACTGTCTTAGCATCAACACTCGAAAAATGATAACATGCTAAATGTCTTTGAGTCGGGAAGCAGTGGAGATCATGAATGTCTCTCTTCAGGATGTACATGTGCATACATAAAAAATAATATGAGCTAATTCATCATAATAATTTAATAGTCCTAGAGCATGTGACATTGCGTACATACACGTGGTGCTCAAAACCAATCATGTAGCTAAAAATTCCCCAGGAGTATAATAGTTTTTCACACATCAAAAAAATTATTTAGTTGAGTTTTGACAGAAATTTAACTCTAGGTTAAAGTAGTAATCACCTGTATTTGTTAACCAAGTCCCATATGCTGGATGCAATTGGGATGTTCAGTTCAATTTCTACTCACAGAATATATACATATTAGCTTTGGCATTTTCACCAGACAGTCTGTGCCAACAGTGCGCCATAAAAAATAGGATTCTTCTCTTTATTTTAAATATTTTAAAAAGCAAATCTATGGTTCAACTAAATTGGTCAAACTGTGAAACAGCACGAATAAGTCGTTCATTCAGCTTGGGTAGTGAATATTGTCAGCTAAAGAAACAGAATGAGTAGTCCAAAACAATATCGCAATACATCGAGTACGGAAATTCAATAAACCTACTTAATTTAACCATACAGATGGTTTATATTAATTAAAAACCAGGACACAGCATACAGGGATATTGTACATCATATGTAAAACCATTCCAAGTAAAATCTAATTCAAGTAAAATCTAATTCAAGCAGGTAAAAAGATAAAACAGATTACCTGTCTTCTGAGGTGTATCTAATTTTGCCTTTTTAGCAGGCACAGGTGTTTTACTCACAGATTCAGTGGGTCTCTTCTTCTTGCTGAGTTCAGCCTTCAAAATAAAACAAGACAAAGGCAAAAGTAGGTTAATAAAAATAACAGCAGTATTGGATCACCAAACTCACACGTTTTTCCAATATGCCATTACTTTCTGAGGCGTCTCCTCATCTTCTTCCTCCTCATCATCTTCTTCATCAGTATCATCTTCGTCCTCCGAGTCACTATCATCTGAAGCATCCATCATGACCTAAGCAACAATCAACCATGCAAAATAAAAAAACATATCCATGCAATATAGCCACAAGAAGCCAATAATGAAAGGGAGATCATAAAAACAAGACTTACTGAAGAAAATCAAATGGCATAACAAAATTGCAGTATAAATGTTGAAAGAAAAGATCTCCCAAAAAATATGTTTCTCCAAAAACAAAAGATTTCCTTGGGATATTGGCTTCCCATATCATTAATAGCACTCACCCGAATTCACTCCATTGCTTTCTATTCATCCAATTGTTTATCTGAAGACTTTCACTCATAGTTGCATTCAATCAACTTCCATTTGATTAACAAAATTTTCAAGGAATTAGAAAACCATTACGTGTCCCATCAAAACACAAAGATAAGAAAGACATCTTCATGCATATTGCTACTGCTAAAAGGTTATCTGACAATACACCATTTGCTCAGAAAATGCAGCAACTGATATTTGATATATGCTATTTTAGAAAAAGGAAGGGATAAATCATAAAAAAGCAATTTAATTTGCAATCTAGAAAAACAATTCGTGGTTTAATTTATGCAGGTTGTATGAATATCACAGTACGATTATGAGTCACCTTGTCAACATCTTCATCATCGTCATCTGTATCATCATCTTCATCACTGTCATCATCTTTTTTTGGCTCCACAACAGTCACCTTTGGCAGCTTGGCAGCTTTACCCTTACTTGCAGCAGGCTTTGCTTCCTCACCTTTAGATTCATCTTTCCCTGACAATTTCCATTTTCACGAGGGAAAACAATGGTTTAGAATCTGACGATTTTAATAACTAGCAAACCAACTAATGAAACAAATTGTACCATTCTCTGTGATGAGTCGGCGTATATCTTCATCCTCAGAAGAATCATCCTCATCTGGAAAAATAAAAATAAAAATTAGTAAGAACCAGTATACTAAAAGAACAACACTTAAGCAGGACCATCATCTAAGCAACATGTATTAAGACTCACCAAACTCGTCTTCTACATCTTCGGTGAAGAGAAAAAACAACCGTCAAGGAAACAAAATATAAAATTGAAATCTAAACAGTTTTCAATCTCCTCCAGGTCAAAATCAGAACAAAAACTCAAAAACAAAGAATCAAATATTGAAATAACACAATCTATCAATAAGATTTACACACTACATATTAATGATAAAACAAGGAACAGCCAGATGGAAAAGCAAACATTTGCAGTTTAAATTTAACTTGCAAGCCAGTGGAAAATAATGGAAAGGGAAGACAAGAAGTTTAACATGAATTGGTTTGTAAAACGAATTTCCAGTATATCGTTAATGCAGCAAGCAAAGCCCTAGGACACTTCATACTTCAAATTCAAGGACCAACATGAAAGTGTACAGTAATGTGTGAGACTCTAAAGAAAACAAATCACAAATTCAAATTAAGACTCATCTTGAAGCTCAGGCCGGGATAACTCACTAAAGATTGATATAAAGACATTGATAACAGCAAAAGAGAAATCAACAGCACAGGAAACTAAGAACAAACATAAAGGATATTCAAACTGATTATCTGCCGAATATCCACAAAAGTAGACGCTCCCATCTTTCCAGTCATGTGACAGCTCAAATTCTTTCTCAAACACCAAATCAAATGAAACTTGAGGGAACTTCTCTGCAGAAAGTGATCCTAGAACTAATTTCTTGCCATTAATATTCACCCAAAGAGGGACAATGTCATTTCCTTTTCCCTTCTTTCCCTCACCCAGTGCTGCCTGAAAAAATAGCAACATCCCAACATTTCTCAAACCAAAAATAAATAGACAAAAATAAAAATGGTAGACATTTTATTGATCCTATAAATTTATAGAACAAAATAAAATGGAAGAAAGTTAATCAATTTCAACGATAGTAGATGCATTGATTATAACCTGGGAAATGTGTATGACGCTGCCTACTTCAGGATTGACCTTAAGAGGCTGCCCAGCTTTTACTTCAACACCTGGAAGAAGCATGCAGAAATTGTACTCAAAACTAATGTATAAAGCAAAATTAAAAACTAAATGCACTGTAATTAAAAAAAATGCATAATATACAACAAAACCCATTAAATTGACAGCAAGTGCACAATTGGCAAAATGACAAACAATAATGGCTGACAATGCTTATTGTAAAAAAAAAAATGCACTTCACTGATTACATGATTATTAGCGAAAAGACCCAAATGACAATGTGCAAAACAAACAAGACAATAGTCAAATAACATTTGAAATATTCAGAAGAAAAAAAAAGAAACTTAATATGTAGGTAGGATATCAATAAGTCTAGTATTACCTACCAAGACAGATGAATGAACAGTATCATATCAAAGCAGGGCATGTTTACTAACAACTCCACACTCAAACAAACAAATGTAGCTTACGCCAATGAATAGTTTATACAATATAAACGTTTTGAATCACTGAAATGATGTTGAAATGAAACGTTGATTCCATCAAAACGTTCATTCAATTGTCTGGTTGGCTAAAAAGATAACAACAAATGCATTACAAATATATAGAATCAATATTATTCACCACTTAAAGCGGGAATTAAGAGCGATACATAGAGAGTAAAAGTGCAAATAAAGCAAAACTTTCCGAATTGATGTTTGAAAGTAAAAAAAGAACATAGATTTTCCCAGCAAACAAACAAAGCATTAAAACAACACAAGCAATAAATACTCTACAAACACACACACACACACACACACACACATGTACTTACATTACAAGTATGTCTAGAGAAACAAATAGTAACGTATATTAGGCGAACAATCGACTGAAAGTGAAAAACCTATGTAGAGATGGTGCTAGTGATCGAAAACTTACCCCAAAACTCCATTGATACTGAGGAGGAGGAAGAAAGACAGACGGACAGATAACGAAAATTGTAGAGAGAGAGAGAGAGAGAGAGAAGGGTTTCAAGGAAATTTATAGCGGAGTTGCCGCCAGGTTTGGGTGAGAGAGCTAGGGTTTTGAAGGAAATTTATAGGCCTGGGCCTGAGTCTGAGCCTGGGCTGTGCCCTCGTAGAGGATCTGTATGGGCTTCTCGCTTAACATTACGCCTACCTATTTATCGGGATCGCCTTGGGAATGCATTTCGTTCAGAAAGAAATTTAGATAAAAAAAATAAAAAAATAGATAATATGTGAATGAAATATAATTATATTTTTATATATTTTTTACACATCTTTTTTTATTTTTTTTTTTAAATTCTTATTCAAATTTATGAACCAAATACAATCTAATGTATTATATTGAACAAATTTCAAAACTTTTTAAATAAAATTTTTGAATTTTGTTTTTCATATTTTTGTGTCTTTAGTGAATATTTTAAATATTTTAATTAAATTAATTTTTTTTTACTTTTTAAATTCACTTAACATGGATAAACATAAAAAATAAAATATTTGTGAATAAAATTTTAAAATATTCACACGAAAAATATAAAAACTCAATATATTTTTTTATTATTTATTTATTTATTAATATTTTGTTTTAGATTTTTTCACGAATATTTTAGATGCATCTAAAAAAAAAAGTTGACTAAAATATGTGAATAGTCCACTTTAAATACCACAAAATTCAAAAAATATATTTAAAAAAGTTTTGAAATTTGAAAAAAAACTCAAAGATTTTTTAGTTTACCAAAATTGAAAGAAAAAAAAACCATATTGACAAAAAGTTTAGTCTTATTTTAATTTTCAGTTGTCTAGATGAATATTCCCAATTGTGTAGATTATTTTCCCCATTTTTGGATTGAAAATTTAGCTCTGCTACAGAGCCCGAAAGGGTTTCGAGCCAAATTTGGCTCGAATTTGAGAAGGAGGAAGAAGAAGAAGAAGAAGAAGAAGAAGAAGAGAATGAGGAAGAAGAGAAGGAGGAGCAGAACTGGAGGGGGCCCTAAAAATAGGGCTGGAGGCGGAGGCGGAGGGAGGGGGGCGGAGGCAGAGGCGATCTAATACCTATATTCTCCTTAAATTGGATTTATCACTAATTAACCCTTTGAGAAATTGTATAATTTTCAAGAATAATGTTTGAGGGCCCGAAATTAGTGGCAAAAAAAAAAATCAAAACCCAAAACGACGTCGTTTTGGGTTTTGAGCCACATTCGGGCCACTAATTTCGGGCCCTCAAACATTATTCTTGAAAATTATACAATTTCTCAAAGGGTTAATTAGTGATAAATCCAATTTAAGGAGAATATAGGTATTAGATCCAAGGGATATTTTTTTGTTGATGAGAGGTTCATACTTTGTGAAATAGTTTTGTGAGAAGTCCTATAGAATATTTTATTTTCAATTTTACCCTTGACTTTTCTTATCAGTTTGACTTTTCATTTACTATCTATTCAAATTTATATATACCTGGGGTTTGGTAATGACCGTATAACCTATATATATATATATATATACTTGGCTAGTTTGGTCTTTTTACATTAATTTGTCCTTATAGACAAAGTGTTTTGACGCTTGAACCTACTAACAAAGAAAATTCAAATTTAAATTTTTAGCTTGGGCGCCGTTTCTCAAAACATAGAATTGGGTTTCAAATACTGTGAGATTGCTAAGGTTCAAATTGAGGGAATATATATATATTTGGTGTAAAAGTTGTTAACTTCTATGATTTCAAGTAACTTTTAGATTTCTTTAGTTCCATCCCAAAATTGAGTTTCAGGATAAAATATTACGCTTTTTATGTTTGTTTTTAGTTTTGTAAGATATAAACATCATAAATAAAAATATGTTCAACAATACATTAAACAAAGATAGATTACCCGTCTAGCGTCATTCATCAATTGAGTACAAAAAAAGTCAAGAGATTTAATAGAAAATTACAAGCCCTTTATTCATGTTGGATACTTTGCTTGCCAATCAGAAGTCTAAATGATGTTTGGTTTCACAGTATTGCGTAGCAATCTATCTTTTCGATGCCAATAAAGGTTGGTCATTTAAGGTATTTGTAATCACAAATGGGGTTTATTGAGATTCAGTAGTACTACTTGGTAAGGATTGCTTAATCAGAATTGTCCACCATACTAGGGTCATTAAAGCTAACCATCTAAGTGAATGGACAACTAGATTGAGGAAGCTTGCAATCTTAGCCACCAAACGCAAAATTGAGAACCAAGGGATCACGATGATGTTGGAAAATTTTAGAGTAAATTATAAATATATTTCTTAAGTTTTGATTAAAATATGAATCGTTTCTTATAGTTTTGGAAATTACATTACACCCCTTGAGGTTTATAATTTCATAACAAGTTGTCCCTTTTATTAATAAATCATTAAGGGTTGGTTTGAGAAGTGGGTTGGCTTTTTAATTTTTTGGCTTTTTTGGCTATTTTAACCTGGGCTAAAAAACTTGGTTTGGGAAGGACTTTTTAACTTTTTGATTTTTTTGACTTTTTTTGTGAGAGAAGAGTGTAATGATTATGGGTTGGATGTGATGTTTTGTTTTTTGTAACTAAAATAGCCTATTTTGTTTTTTGTGGCTAAAATAGCCAAAAAAGCCCAACCCAACTTGCCAAACGAAGGCTAAGTCAATTATTAGTTTTTAATGATGTTATAGATATGTTTCAGTTAATAATTTAGGTAATTTTATTATTGTATAAGAAAGTAATTATGAATTTCATTTTTTTAGTTAATTCTGTCAAATAAAAAAATACTAACAATAAGGTATTTGTAATTTTCCAAACCATAAGAGGTAATCTGTACTTTAAGCAAATCTTAGGGAGAGTATTTGAAATTTACCCAAAATTTTAAGAGTGAATGAGAATTGATTTTTTTTTTTTTTTTTGATTCAATGGAAAAACATAGCAGCAGAAGTTTATCAGTACACTACAGAGATAACATAGTAGCAAAATAACAAAACAGCAACAGGGCTAATCCTTCAGCTCAACAGTGCCAAGTATGTCTGCAATACATTTGGGGGATCTTCCAACAGAACAACATGTTCATCTTGAGCAACACCAATCTGAGCCAGTTGATCAGCACATTTGTTGCCCTCTCTCAGAGCGTGCTTTAGAGAACAGTGGCATCTTTTTAGCAGAAATTTGGCATCCTCAATAAGAGCTCTGTAGGGAGAGTTGCTGCAAGGACCATCTTGGATTTGAGATAGTGCCAACGCAGAATCTGTTTCAATCTCCACTTCATGTGTGTTTTTTTGGAAAAGGATGGTGAGACCCCTATAAATGGCCCACAACTCAGCTTCAAGACATGAGCAATGACCGAGTTTTCCATAGAAGCCCCCGACCCAAAGACCTGTTTCATCTCTTAGTAAGCCTCCATAACCAGCTTGACCTGGATCCCTTTTTGAGCAGCCATCAACATTCAGCTTTAACTTACCTGTAGGTGGATGAAGCCAACAAATTAGTTTAGGATTGGGAGGATTTGGATGGAGGGCAGATTGGAAACCCTCTGCAATCTCATGAGCATAGTTCCATATGTTCTTGAGACTAGATTGAATGGGGTTAAGTTGTTTATCAAAAACCAATTTGTTTCTATCTTTCCAAATCTGCCAGATGGTAGAAATAAAAACAATCTGCCATTTAGTTTCAAAAAATAAATTTTTATCTTTCAAGTTAGAAATAACCCATTCATTGAAAGGTTGATCACAACCAGCCCTCCACCAGGGAGGATCTCTGATTTCAGTCCAATAGTTCTTGGAGAAAATGCAATTTCTGATAAGGTGGGGCATGTCCTTACTAACTGACCCACATCGAGGGCATAGATCATTAGTGGCCATATTCCTCACAAGACGAAGTTGATTAGTGAGTAATCTCCCATGTAGAAGAAGCCAAAGGAAACTTTTCAGTTTCTGGGGCACCTTAAGTTTCCAAATCCATTTCCAATCTTCACCAGCTGGCTCATGATTAGCAATGAGGCTGTATGCTGAGACTGTAGTGAAATTACCACATGGTGAGCCAATCCAGAAAGGGGTATCTGTAAAAGTGACAAAATGGGGTCTATGGATTTTAAGAATGTCCTGTAGAGATTGAGGGCTAACAAGATTTTGAAGAGCTTTCTCATCCCAGTTGCCATCATCAGTGAGCACAGTACTAACCTTCAGATGCTCATTAACCTGTTGGGGATTGTGTGTTTCAGTTAGAGGTTGTGAGCCACACCACTAATCATTCCAAAAGGAGATGTTATTCCCATCCCCCACATTCCATTTGACTCCTCTCCTCATAATGTCTTTGTTCCTACGAATGCTTCTCCAGATATGAGAAGAGTTGGTTTTGGGAGGGGACTGACACAAGGTGTTTTTGTTAAGATATTTAGAATGAAGAACTTTACACCAAAGTTTGTTTTTATCACTTAGTAGCTTCCAACCAAGTTTAGACAAGAGGGCAGTGTTATTATCTCTAGGCTTACGAAGGCCTAGGCCACCTTTAGCTTTACTTCTGCAAACCTTGTCCCAATTAACAAGGTGCACTCTTCTATTACTATCCGTTTCACCCAAGAGAAAGTTTCGATTAAGTCTATCAATGTCATCACACATACTTCGAGGTAGTTCCTTGGTTTGCATATTATAGTTAGGGATCGCAGAGGTCACTGATTGGATGAGGGTAAACCTACCAGCAAGGGAGAGGTTTCTGGCCTTTTAACCTGAAAGTTTGTTCTTAAGCTTTTCCATGATATCCCGAAACAAATGTTTGTTGACTCTACCATGAATCATAGGGGAGCCCAAGTATTTACCAAGGTCTTGAGTAAGGGGAATGCCACTCAGATAGCTAAGGGATAAGGCCTTGTTGTGAGACACATTGGGGGACACGAAGAGTTTGGATTTGTTGTAGTTAACTTTTTGGCCAGATATAGCACAAAACTCAGTTAAAGTATCCATAATGGTGGTACAATTTTGTCTATCAGCTTTGGCAAAAAGAATAAGGTCGTCCGCAAAGAAAAGATGAGAGATGGGCGGGCTAGTGCGAGCAGCTTT